AGAAAATTTATAAAAAAGTATGTCGGATATCTGAGAAACTGGTAATGGATTCCTTTATAATAAGCGGTTAATTAGTAACAAATTAGAGGACATTGGTACGGTACTGTGAGGAAATAAATAGAGAAGTGCTAGAAACCCACGGAAAATTGGTGAGACATTTAAGGGAAATTAATTAGACATCAAAATTGGCGGAAATTAATGGGAGATTGGTGTAAAGGGTGAAAATTGGGGCAGTTTCACCAGTTACTAATAGTCCTCACTAACCAGACGTGATTAATAGGGACTGTTTGCCTGCGTGACTACTGGGTGCCTGCGTGACCCTGGGTGCCTGCGTGACCCTGGGTGCCTGTGTGACTACTGGATGCCTGTGTGACCCTGGGTGCCTGCGTGACCCTGGGTGCCTGTGTGACTACTGGATGCCTGTGTGACCCTGGGTGCCTGCGTGACCCTGTGTGACTGGATGCCTGTGTGACCCTGGGTGCCTGCGTCACCCTGGGTGCCTGCGTGACTACTGGGTGCCTGTGTGCCTGCGTGACTACTGGGTGCCTACGTGACCCTGGGTGCCTGTGTGACTACTGGATGCCTGTGTGACCCTGGGTGCCTGCGGCCCCTGGCTGGCCGGGTGACCCCTGGTGGCCGGGCAACCCCTGGTTGGCCGGGTGACCCCTGGCTGGCCGGGTGACCCATGGTGGCCAGCCTGGCTGGCCGGGTGACCCCTGGTGGCTGGGTAACCCCTGGCTGGCCGGGTAACCCCTGGCTGGCAGGTGACTCCTGGCTGGCCGGGTGACCTCTGACCTTTGCCGGAGTCGTAAGGTCATCATGGATTATCTAGTAGAGGCAGAGCGGTGTGCCCGGGCGGCCCTCTTACTTATTTCTCACTTTAACACGCCCGCCCACGCCACACCACGCCCACCCACGCCATGAAAGGTGCACTGTGGGTCCCAACGACGCCCACACACACGCCTGCCCTTCCGCTAATGCCAAGCCCACCCACAGTGATGGACATTTGGGCGTGTAATACTGTTATTAGCATATAAATGGATAGGTTAGGTTAGCTTAGCTTAGCTTAGGTTAGCTTAGGTTTGGTCAGAATAACAAGTTAGGTTATACTATTAGCCCACACTACACCCATGTCACCACTACACATACACCTACACACACCCACATCCACCCGCCTATACCCACATACACCCACCTATACCCACATACACCCATCTATACCCACATACACCCATCTACACCCATCTACACCCATCTACACCCCTACGCCAATATTCACACACTTCCACCCATCTACACCCACCCACACCCACACCCACCTACACCCATCTACACACCACCCATCTACACCCACCTTCACCCACCTACACCCACATACACCCATCTACACCCACATACACCCATCTACACCCACATACACCCAACAACAATAATATATGAACCATGACAAATATTTCGACCCAAAAAATATTGACAAGGTTTTGATACTAATAATAATAATAATAATAATAATAATAATAATAATAATAATAATAATAATAATAATAATAATAATAATAATAATAATAATAATAATAATAATAATAATAATAATAATAATAATAATAATAATAATAATAATAATAATAATAATAATAATAATAACCATCACCATCGCACCACACAAACATTAAAGGTTTACAATAACATCACATTTCAGACACTAATCCTTTGAGCCGAAAATCTGGTTCAACTCCTTTGTGATTAAACTGTGTAAAATGTTATTGTTATTAAATACAGCTTTGAGATAATGCGAAGAGGGAGAAACATAAGAAAAGGAAAACAGTACTAAGAGATAAGAAACAAAATAGAAAAATGCGAATTAAAGAGAGAGGGAGAGAGAAGTAACTGAATGACCGCATAACATACTGTTGTCTTAAAGGGAAGACGGAGAAAGAGAGAGAAACAACATTCCTTGTCAAAAAACCTCTCACCAGTCAACAAGACCTCACCTGTCAACAAGACCTTACCTGACAACAAGACCTCTCACCTGTCAACAAGGCATCACCTGTCAACAAGACCTCTCCTGTCAACAAGACCTCTCCTGTCAACAAGACCTCACCTGACAACAAGACCTCTCCCTGTCAACAAGACCTCACCTGTCAACAAGACCTCTCACCTGTAAACAAGACCTCACCTGTCAACAAGACCTCACCTGTCAACAAGACCTCAGTTGTCAACAAGACCTCTCACCTGTCAACAAGACCTCTCAGTTGTCAACAAGACCTCTCACCTGTCAACAAGACCTATCCTGTCAACAAGACCTTGTCAACAAGACCTCACCTGTCAACAAGACCTATCCTGTCAACAAGACCTCATCTGTCAACAAGACCTCACCTGTCAACAAAACCTTACCTGTCAACAAGACCTCACCTGTCAACAAGACCTCTCACCTGTCAACAAGACCTCTCCTGTCAACAAGACCTCACCTGTCAACAAAACCTCACCTGTCAACAAGACCTCACCTGTCAACAAAACCTCACCTGTCAACAAGACCTTACCTGTCAACAAGACCTCTCGCTAGGCATCAAATACCCAGTATTATTTCATCGCCGCCAGATGGAGGTTGACTAGAACCATCGTCCTCAAAGGTCATACCTGCCCGTACCAGAGGTCAGAGGTCAGCTGATAGCTGACCTCAAGCACCTGCGACCTTACGCTAGGCGAAGGTCAGTGCCCGTGAACCTCCGCCTACTAGGATATTTATTACTAAGAGTGTGTTGTGTTCTTCAATACCCGGTGATTGTGATGGTGATTATGATGGTGATTGTGATGGTGATTATGATGGTGATTGTGATGGTGATTATGATGGTGATTGTGATTGTGATGGTGATTATGATGGTAATTGTGATAGTGATTGTGAGTGGTTGTGGGGTGATTGCGAGGGTGATTGTGAGGGTGATTGTGAGGGTGATTGTGATGGTAAT